TACACTTACACTGCTCGACTTAGTAAAAAAGGACTGAATGGTTTTTTGTCACTCTGTAATTATTGTAACACTCTGCACTAATGCTGCTGCTCAGTCTTTTTGCCACTCAGTGGGTGTGACCGCGGCAAGTTTCGGCTACCTTGATGTGACGTGAATACCCTCTCTTGCACCAAATGGGTGTTGGCCAAGACCTGATTTCTATTGTGGAAAAATACCACTAATGAGTGCATTAATTAGGTTAAATGTGTCACAGTATCATTAATAGTTCCACAGGCATACACTCCCTGGGCTGTTTTGCATTATAAAGACAATCTTCATTCCAATTTTCATCACAGTGCGTGAGACTTAATATCTGATGTTGAGTGTAGGTAATTAATTTTTACAGATAGTAAACTGTACATGAACTCCAACATCAGCAGACCTTCAGAAGCCCAGATGCCTGGGACAAGCAGAATTCATGTTACTTTTTTATTCACAGTTGTCAGGTTAAACAACTAGAGAATATAAATAAGTAAACAGAAAATAAACCACATTTTCTACTAACTTTTGCAAAACAACAAAAGATTGTATTAGGCATAGTGCTGTGAAAAACTGATTTCTTCTGTTTTTGTGTGTATCTCATACTAAATAGATCTTCAAATGAAATACAACATAAAACAAAGGCAACCTGAGTAAACACACAATATAGTTTTTATTTATTATTTTTATTGAAGCAAAAAAAATATCCAACATCTATCACCAATGTGAAAAACCAATTGCCCCCTTAAACTTAAAATCTGTTTGTACCACCTTTATAAGCAATAATTGCAACCAAATGCTTCCGATAACTGGAGATCAGTCTTTCACTTACTTCTAGGACTAGGACTTACTCCTATGTTTTGGATCATTGTCTTGCTCTCTTGATGTTGCGCTTGAGTTTCAACTTATGGATCGAAGACCAGACAATCTCCTTTAGGATTTTCTGGTACCACCACCACCATGTAGGTATGACATTCATTTTGTGGAATTCTGTGTTTGGATTACGTTATATTTAACAGGACCCTGTCTTCCAAACAGTTCCACTTTCAACTCATCAGTTCACAGAACATTCTTCCAAAAGGTTTGAGGATCATCAAGATCATCAAGAGGATCATAATGTTCTTCTGGGTTAGCAGTGGTTCTCACCTCACCATTCTTCCATGGATGCCATTTTTGCCCAGTGTCTTTCTGATAGTGGAGTCATGAACAGTGACCTTTATTGATGCAAGAGAGGCATGTAGTTCCTTAGATATTGTCCTTGGCTCTTTTGTGACTTACTGGATGTGTAGTTGCTGTGCACTTGGAGAAATTTTGGAAGGTTGGCTACTTCTGGGAAGGTTCACTACTGTGCCGAGTTTTTCCATTTGAAGATAATGGCTCTCACTGTGGGATGAATTTATCAATTTAAAATTTAGATCCCAAATTTATATATTTTTGTAAAGCTGCTTTGTGACAATGTCCATTGTTAAAAGCATTATACAAATAAAACAGAATTTATTTTAATTAAAATATGGTCCTTTCGAGTCCCAGAGCCTTTGAAATATCTTTGTAACCCTTCCCAGACTGATGTATTTCAATCACCTTCTTCCTCATAATTTCTGGAATTTCTTTCCATTTTGGCATAGTGTGTTACTGGGTAAGACCTTTTAACCAATTCATGCTGTTGAACAAGTTCTATTTAAGTGTTGATTTGATTAAAGAGGGTTTGCAGTAATCAGGCCTGGTTGTGTCTAGTCCATCTGAACCCCATTATGGATGTAGTTTCATAGATTTGGGGAATTAGTAACTACGGGGGCAAATATATATTCACACAGGCCCAAATGGTATTGCATAACTTTTCTGCTTCAATAAATATCTATCATTTAAAAACTGTTTTTTTGTGTTTACTCAGGTTGCCTTTGTTTTATCTTAAATTTTGTTTTCATTTCTGTTTAGTATTTATTATGAGATATACATAAAATCAGAAGAAATCAGAGCAAATACTTTTTCACTGAACTATATGTACAGTAGCTAGTAATCTTGCAAATCTCAATGCAGTAACTATAGTGCAAGCTACTCCACCTCTGCCACCTCATGCTGCACTACACACATCATCCGAGACACAATGACAGACGATCCTTTCAGAATGAGGAGCATGCAGGTTTGCAGAAACACTGCTGAGTGTAAAGCCATCATGTAACTCTTCTGCTTCCTATATGCAATATGTTGCCTCACAGTTAAACATAGCGAGAGAAAATAAAGACACTAGACAGAGAGGCAATGAGAGGAGAGAACACTGCATTTTGGAGCTGAAATTTTGGCTGATAATATTGTTGCTTTTTCTTGAGAGCACAAACTTTTGACAGTTTTTCTGAAACACAGGACTGGGCAGCACACTGAAGTTTTTACTTGCCCAGTGGACAATCTAATAAACTTTGTCCACCCCTGTGTACAGAGAGAAATCTCTCGTCTGGGAGCAATACTCTCTGCCTGAATCACTGCCTCTCTACTATAATGAAGTGACCAAGCAATATCTGGAGGAAAGCATTTGCAAGCCCCTCATGGTGAACCTGCCTAAGGTGTTTGTTTGTCCTTAAACAAACACAAACTTTGTTGAAGCTACACTCCTTTGCATTCTTCATTCTGTTTGCTTACTTAGATAATCACTAATGACATGACTTCAGACCAAAACACAGAAGAGCTGCAAATGGTCACGGTGCATGATGTGTTTTGTTTTCTCATAGAACCACAGCCTCATTTATCAGTGTTTTAGTAGGCCAAACTGAGCTAAAAATTCCCATCTTTTTTGACTTATGAAATTTTCAGTTCCACTATTTTTATTCATACTTACGTGTGTACATGATCAATACCAATCAGGTGTAAATTAGCAAGTGTGTTAAAGATAGAGCTGATTTACATTTAGCTATTACTACATATAGAGCTGAAAATGGCTGTGGCTCAGGTGGTAGAGTGGGTTGTCCACTAATCGTAGGGCCGGGTGACTCCACATGCCAAAGTGTCCTTGGTCAGCAAGACACCGAACCCCAAGTTGCTCCTGGTGGCAAGTTAGCGCCTTGCATGGCAGCTCCGCTACCATTGGTGTATGGGTGAATGAGACGCACTTTTGGATAAAAGCGCTATATAAGTGCGCCATTTACCAAAACTAAACCCCTAAAATGTGTATGCTAAATCTTCCAGTAACGCTGCACAGCATGTCCTCCTTTTATAGGGAACCATTACTTTTGTTTGAATTGAACAGCTATTTAAATATTTGATTTCGATTGCTTTATTTCAAAGTCATTAAAATGAAAGTTTAGCAAAGTGCTCATAAAATAAACACCTTGCCAATTACACAATTTGATGAATTGATGAATTGAGTTTCACATTAGTGAGTCCCATTGTACATAAAATAAATGTATACATATCCGGTTGGATAAATGAGTGCAAGTGTTCATTAAATGGGAAATCCTGGGATATTGGTGAATTTTTGGATTTCCTTCCTAATTCTTAATACATGATGTAACACCTTTCACAATTTTACAGCTTCACAACCTGCCAAGAACTTCATGTAGAATTGAAACAATTCTGTTTCAACCTTAGATATTAATTTAGTTTTTTATTGTCACACATAATTCTCTAACTTGTGCAGTCTTTTTTTTTTAGATTTATTAAAACGAGTGGTTAAAGTTTTCATCATTTGGAGTTCAGTCCCACGATATTTGCAATTACTGTAACCCTTCATGAAACAGACTTTTCCAATTAATTTGCTTTGATTTACTCCCCTCATGACTCAATGATGTGCAATTCGTAAAGGTCAGGCGCTCTGCAGTATATCACGTCCGTGCTCTCAGCGGGACGTACTTTCCTAAAAAAACAATGAGTTATCCATTTGGCTGGTGTGTGTTAAAGGATAGTTGGCAGGAATGAAGTGCCAAGGTGAGTTATATCAGTGTTTAACCGTGCAAACGTGTGTCTCCTCCAACTTCATGAAAAAAAAACCCTTTTGGCAGGTCTTGGGTGCTTATTGGCATGGAAAACTGTGGCACACATTTAAACGTTACACATGAGTTATGAAACAGCACTCGAGTGGCTTAAACCTCACCATGAACACAGGGAGATCCTCCATGGAGATCCAGCTCTTTAATTTCTTTCATCTAAATGACTCTTGAGAAAGCCGTTAACGGTGACATCAGTCTGTGTCTTTATTTCAGCCGAGTCTAAACGCACCAACAGCGAAGAGCGTCTGTGATTTTCGCTTCAAAATTGCAGAGTCAGTCGACATTTCAATGGTTAGTTACTAACCGAAAATGACATGGTTCTCGTGGCTGGTGTAATTACGTGATTGGAGGCTTGCAAATGTGTAGCGCATGGCCTTTGAAAGTGTGTGTGTGTGTGTGTGTGTGTGTGTGTGTGTGTGTGTGTGTGTGTGTGTGTATGTGTTGACGGGCAGTAGGTTGAACGTCTGGGTGTGGGGGCTGCGGGAGGCCCATGCTGACATGTGGCACTTACATGAAGCAAAGCAGCAGACCAAACAGCCTGTGTGTGTATATGCTTGTGTGTGTGTGTGTGTATGAACATGTATTTATATCTCTTGATCGGGAACAAATATCCAGACAATGATAGGAATATCTGACAGTTGTGACCTTGTGAGGTAATTTCGGTGGTCCCCAAAGAAAACAACAACAATGATAATAACTTTAAAAATAACAACAACAACAACAATAATAATAATCCATCCATCACCACTTTATCCTTTTCATGGTCACAGGGAACCTGGAGCCTATCCCAGGGAGCATCAGGCACAAGGCGTGGTACACCTGGACAGGGTGCCAGTCCATCGCTGGGCACAATCACATACACACTCACACACCCATTCATACACTACGGACATTTTAGACACCCCAATCAGCCTACCATGCATTTCTTTGTACTCGGGGAGGCAACCGGAGTACCCGGAGGAAACCCCCGCAGCACGGGCAGAACATGCAAACTTCGCACACACATGGCCCGGCAGGACTCGAACGTCAGACCCTGAAGGTGTGAGCCAAATGTGCTAACCACTAAGCCACCGTGCACCCACAATGATAATAATATTAATAACAATTATAATGATAGAGAAAAAAATTAACATTTGTTTATAAAGTAATAAAGGCAGTGGATATTCCTTACAAGGATAGCAAAAGTGTGTGTGTGTGTGTGTGTTGTGGCCTGTGTGTGCCCACGAGTGTTTCTCAACAGTGGCATTAAGTAGGCTGCTATGAGTCGTGGGCTGAGGAATGCAGGTGCAGCATCTTCGTCTAGACGGAGTGTTCGACTGATCCTGTGTCTGCTCCCGTAAGCTTTCCTGATTTTCCTCTTTGAAATGAACACACAACATCAGCGACTCCACACAACACTGAATCAAACACCAAGGAAACAATATGTTCATTGGTTTGGCACATTTACATAACTGAGCATGTTATAGACATGGGGTTATATTTATGAATACAACTAATATGTTTAAGTGTCTTTGAAAGTTCCCACTGCCGTCTTTCTCGCAGTACACTGAAATGCCATTCCACCACCAGAAATCAATCAGTATAAACAAATTAATTATTTTTATCGCTTTTATGAGTCTGTTATAAGATTAGTCAGGACACGGTTGGGTTTCTGTGTGTAGAGTATAGTGACTCTGTGTTTAGCTGCCAGTGAGCAGGGCAGTGGGAAAGGGGAGGGGTGTGAACCCACTGCTGGGTAAACAATTCACACCTCTGCATAATTGGTACAGAGATAAAACAGGCAGCATAACTAAAGAGTTTTTGATCGTGAAACACCTGTATACAACTGCACAATAAAATTATAAAATTTAAACCAAGTAGGCTAGGTAAAAAAAAGAAAGCTTATGAAAATTCTTACAAATCTTCTTTCATATGAGCCATTAAACAGTTCTGTGGAGTGTGACATCACAAATAAATTCAGCACTGAATACGGGCATCCCCAAAACAGGTGGAAATTCTTTTTTGGCCTCTGATAAAGAGTTCAGATCATTTTTTGTGTTTTATTACACTGATTATATTAAATGAGCCCTAATAGCACTAATAGAGTGTTATGCAGTGTTTATTTATTGTTTTGTAAATGTTGGATGTAAATATTAATTTGTGTGCTCTACTGTGAAATTAAGTTTTGAAATTAAGGTTTGAGGTTAAACTGAATTACACAAATGAAATAAAAATTTGACCAATGCAATTTGAAATTCAGAATATCCATTCCAACATCATTGTTTTAAATGAGCTAATTCAAATCCCAGTTTGGGGGTCCAGCCATTTCCTGACTGCTCACTGGCTGAAGTAACAATCAAATTGGAGCTTTTCTCAACAATCATGCATGTAGCAATGTATACATTTGAATCGCAATTTGATGAAATGGCTTAGAAATGCGCTGCATATGGAATTATTTTATCAGGTGTTAAATAATAGTTTCAATGTGCACATTTCTATCAGTAAGTATATTACTCTGGAATCAAGCATATTTTTCAGTATTTTTGTTTGGAATTATTTCCTTAATTTTCACCAATTATAAATGAAATCTGCCTGAAGCCCATAAGGTTTTCATAAAAAAAATTTTTTGGAGAGGAATGAAAGATAGTATTCAGTATTTTTCACTATTTTTGGCAGGGACTGTTGCTCGGTTCCAAAAACTAATTTTTAAAATTGCAATTAGTTGGACACCCTCATTTATTCTTTACTCAGAGGTGCACCAAATCATGCATGTAGAGCTTTGAGTAAAATATTTTCCATTCACAGTGTGAGTATTTGCACAGTGTGTTCAAAGACAGATGAGAGAACAATGTGGGATTCGTTATTGAAGTTTGACGCATGAGGCATGGCTACACATGACAAAAATGAAAACAGCAACATTAAAAACAAACAGGTATGAAAATATGTCATCCTGCAGCATTCATAACAAATGAGCAAAACATTTTCTCGTGGGAATCAAGTGCATTGGAATGTCTTCTGGAACACCGAAGCATCTCAGTACATTCCTCTCTGAACAGTCCTCTGAGTTCACCCTATGTCCATGAACTGCGATAACCACTCTGAAACAAATGTGAAACAAATCTACAGCTTTTTAACCACTTGAATATTTTCCTAATAGATTTATGAGGTCTTGTATGTGGGCTAATATTATTCTTGACCCATTCAAAGCCGACGCAGTGGGGGGATGTTCGCTGTTTTAGTGATGTAAGGTGCATAATTCTCCCGAACCCTGGTCAGATTATATTGCAGGAACTCTTTGAACAGCCTCTGATTATTTGAAGTCAAATTAAACTAGTGAGGAATGTTCCTCACTGCGCTCAGTCGGGTTGTTTGATGATCGCGCAGAGAGCTCATGTGCAGATCAAACTAGAACAAATTCACAGCTCAGGATTACAACGTGATTTGGGACAAAAGCAAACATGTTTTGGAGCGCTCCAGTTCTAAATGTTTTGTCCTTGGTAGCAGAACGGCCACTCACGGCTCCGCATATGGAGCTGGGAAAGATAATATTGCATTATTGTGAGGAATTTTCTCATAGTTTTTATGAAATCTGTCAATTGATTGGGTTGTTTTTTGTTTTTTTGAGATAAACTGTGTTACGTTTAGCGACTTTTAGTTTAGTATAGTAATTTTATATAATTGTAATTCTGACGGGCTTAGTGGTTAGCACGTTCGCCTCACACCTCCGGAGTCCGGGGTTCGAGTCCTGCCGGGGCCATGTGTGTGTGGAGTTTGCATGTTCTTCCCATGTTGTGGAGGTTTCATCCAGGTACTCCAGTTTCCTCCCCCAAGTCCAAAGACATGCATTGGCATGTCCGTAGTGTATGAATGGGTGTGTGAGTGCCCTGTGATGGATTGGCACCCTGTCCAGGGTGTACCCTGCCTTGTGCCTGATGCTCCCTGGGATAGGCTCATCGTGACCTTGAAAAGGAGTAAGCGGTAGAAGATGGATAGATGGGTATTGGGAGTAAGGGAAATGCAAAACCATCGGTAAAGTTTACTTAAAAGTTTAGATTGAAGCAATAGTGTAAATGAGATCCCATGTCTTTACTGACAGGCTATGAGAAAAGTAGTAGTTGGACGTTTATCATGTCACTCAAATTGCCTTTTTCTTGTTAAAGCAAATGATTCTTGGCCATATGGAAAGCTTTGTGAAAACATACCAGACTCTATGCCAAATCCTATAGGTCCGTTTTGAAATGCAAATGCATGAATGCTTTCAATTATAAGTGCAGAGTCATGGTAGATCAAGGGCCTTTCCCAAGATCAATGAATGTGAGGTGGGAATACACCCTAGATGGGACATCATTCCATTGCAGAGTACCTCAAACAAATATTCACACACTTGTTCACATCTAGGGACAATTTGGACAATTTCACCAATTTTTACCTGCCAGCATGTTTTTGGGAGGTGGGGGGAAACTAGAGAACCCCAAGGAAACCCACACAGACACAAGGAGAACATGTGAAACTCCACACAGACAGTAAACCAAGCTTAGGATTGAACCTGGAACTCTGGAGCTGTGAGGCAGCACTACTACCTACCTTACCACTGAGCCACCCCCAAGAAGTTCTATTTTAACTGAAATCAAATGCCAAAAGTACCACTCTTGGATCCTTAAGGCAAGACTCATAACCCTCTTTTGTTCAGCTTAATGCTTGTTTTGGACTTATGCCTCACTTGTAAGTCATTTTGGATGACAGCGTCTGCTAAAAGAATGCATGTAACATCAAAAAAGAGCTTCAGTTGGCAAGGATGACTTAGAAAAGGCAGCTCTATCACTCTTGTGTTGACAGCATTTACAATAATAGATCAGAACGTTTAGTTATTTCTCATTCCAGACTGAGTCACTGGTTTAAAAACAAACAAATAAAACACACCTGATATGAATCCTTAGACATATTAGAAACATGTATGGGCTTTTGATGGAATGTACACAATATTCCTGAGTAAATTTCCATGTGCAGACATTTTGGTTGTATTTTTTCTCCTGTTAATATTTGTTGCTCTAAATTAGAGGATTTTTCATCAGTAAGCGCTGACAAACTCTCACAAAGGGGCAAGAAATCCCTTCTATACATGCTGATACTCTTTTTTCTTTCCACTTTACTGTAAACCTGAATGAATGGGCTGTAGGAGAGGATCTGTGGTCTTGATGGTTCTGAAAAAAAGTTAGATCCTATCATTGCCATGTCTGTGGCTGATTGCACTCATCATAGTCATCTCATTCTAGGACGAGTCACACATGGAGAAAAAAAACAAGAAAGACATACCAGTGGTGTAATGCAAAATACACAGATGGAAAATAAATTAATGTCTAAGAGTCTGTTCAGGTACAAACATTTCATGTGTTGATGCTTTCTTTCAGTAATTGGCAAATCTCCTGTCGTATTTCATCACTCTGTCTGACACACAGGTTTAAGCTTTTCAGGCTTAAAACTAGCTTACAATGTATTAATTCTTGAACCTGATTAGTCAGAAGATGTTGAGTCAGTTTTTATAACCTCAGCTCTAACAGTAGTTCTGACTGTAAGGCAAAACACAGGTTTATATTAATGCGTACAACCTATTATGTTATTGTTTTTATAGTAACAACTCTTTGTACTCATTGTATCTTGTGTTGTTATAGCACAAAGAAAAAATAAACATTTATCAAAGGAGTCTCCAGTGTCAGCATTTTTTAACAATCAGAGGAAAAGCTGTAACTGTTCCACCAATGTAAAATTTTCAGGGCAGAGTGGTTTGCATGTTGTATTTTTTTGCCTTTATTAGTTTTTCAGATATTACACAACATTAAATATAACAACAAATGGATAAAAAAGTAGACATCACAGCAATATTCCTTGGTCTTACCCATTGTTATGAATAACTACGGGAATTTGGCCTATGTGTTACCTCATATGTATATCCCTCTGAAACAGAAAGTCATGGTTGAACAATTTCCTGTTCCTAGTCAGGTTTACATTTTTATAGGGGTGCCAATAATTGATGAACACCTATATTTAACAAACATTTTTGTATAAACCTGTCTTGTGTTTGCTATTGTTTGATATCCATG